TTCTGCCAAACAAGGATACTTATTCCTACAGAACTTTGTATTTTATAGACTTTACACATGGCATTGGCTTATTTAGTAGAGTAAAAAAAAAAAAACCCCAAACCTATACAGTAATAAAGACTTTTTTGTTCAGGCAGCAGAGCTTGAAAGCTAAGAAGTGAGCTGTCTCTTACTGGACCTTCCATAGCCGATTCCTACTGTGCTTGGAATTTCTTTTATTTAGTTAGTTATTTATTTATCCTAGTAAAGAGTATTTACAAACTCTGTGTAGTCTGTGAACAGTCATTTCCTGAGCAGTGTATTTGTCAAAAGCATATAAAGCAAAAGTGCATTTTGATAGGGGATAAACCTCATTAAAAGATACAGAATTATTCCATCTGGGATACAAATTACTTCAAATTTTGGCTTTTAGTTTTAGTGTATTTAGTGGTACATAAAGTAATAGGAAGTCTGTGTGCAGGAAGAGCACGTAGCCCAATGAGCAATTATATGAGAAGACTATAAGGGTTACTGTGCTACAATAATGTTTCTTTGTATGTATGAGAAAATTGTATGTAATAATTAGTGATTTAGTCATAATTGTACCTAATGTAGCTGTTAAAAACACAGTGGCAAGCATGGATTAGTGTAAAGCGACCTGAATATATCATCTGCTCTTTGGAGCTAGTCCCTAAAATTAATGCAGTGAACAATAAGGTCATGTCTTGAGGAGCTGTAACTCCTTTGTGTGTTGAATGTCACAAGGAAGCTGTTGCAGCAGTAGTGAGCACTGGGCTAAGGAGAGACAGCTATTGACTGTCTCAATACAGTGCAGTGAGTAGAAGCAGAGACACCAGTCATCCAGCTGTGTTCTGGCCAAGTTGGGAGCCAAGTGCATTGCTTAGGGTTTGGGATGATTTTAAGATGAAGGATTTTGGTATGAGGGATTTGCTAGTAAAACACAAAGTGTTAATTTAAATCTGTAGTGAAGGAACTGGTATTTTTCCCAGAGACACTTGTTTCACTGCATTTTTTTGTTGGTATCTTATATGGCTCTTAAATATTCTTTTCTGTTACTTCAGATGCAATTCATGGCATCATGATTGACTACTTCTCCCATTGGAAGAATCAGGATACCAACTTTAAGATTTGGTATTTTGTCCCTTTTTAAAGTAGAGCAGACATAAGAGGAAACTTTTGTGTCTGTTTTGGTCCAATAATAACAAAACACCACAAAAAAAACCCCAACAAACAGATGAAATGTTAGATAAGTCCTCATATTCAGTACCTGACTAATGTTTTGATTATCCCTTACCAGAAGAACTTTGTTAAAAGGGAAAGAAAGAGCAAATAACTCCGCTTAAATAAAACTGAAGTTTATGTTGCTGGAATGTTGGTGTGGTTTGTTGTTGTTGTTTTTAAATATCTACTAAAATGTGAAAACAGTCATTGAAATGTAAATATGCTTAGGTGACTTCACTTAAAAATATTGTCTAATGTTGATTAATTTTGAAAGGGTTACTATAAACATTTTTGTGATTTCCTGCAGAACATATTCTGTGCCTAATCTTAATCTTTTTCTTTATTAACCTTTTATTTAGACTAACTCCCCCTCCCCCCAAAAAAACCCCTAAACAACCCAACTCCCAACAACCCAGAACTAAACAAAAAACCCCAGAAAAACAAAACAAACCAAATCCCCAAACCCACTGCCAAACATACACACCAAAACAAAATACCCACACCCTTGTGGAAAAAGTTCCAAGAATGGGCCACAACTATTTGGTAGGTTGTTTCTGTGACTAACTTGTGCCTTTGGTTACCAAAAAAGAGAAGGAACAGTAATATGATCATTTATGGACTAGGGATGTTAGACTTTAGCTCCCAGTCACTGGGATGTCTATGTAAGTTGGCTTTTTAGAATGAAGACCTTTTTATTAGAACTTGTCTTCCCTGTTTGAGTCCTTCACCTTACTTTGAACTCAAATTATCTGCTCATTAGCATATGGATCTTAAATTTAATTGCTTTTCTGAAGCATCAGTTTTTAATCATTGTGAAAATTGAAACTATTTCACTGACTGGGTTACATTATTTCCTTGGGGACTCGTTTAGACTCATGTCTATTGGATGCTTCTAAATTTACTGACTTTGCAGAGCCAGCATAGCTAAATTGCAACAGATTTTATAGTAAACTCAATCTTAAAACAATTTGGTTGATTTTTATCTCTGCATCCCATTGAAAACTGTGAAATGGAATATTTCTCATTGAGGAAAATAATCTGCAGAATTTCGTTTGAGAATTGAGTTCTGCCAACCAGACTAGAAAATACTTATTTTTACTCATAAACTGAAGACATTTGAACTGAGAATTAAGACCCAAGTGTTAATCCATGCAGTGACTCACATTTCGATGTAGATGTTTTATTATATTATGTTTTGTCTTTATTTCAATATTTGTTTCTGCTTTTTTAAGGAAAGCTCTACTATCTATTGCTTATCTGTTCTGTGGGTTTTGGAGGAGGAAACCTGGGAAGTTTTACATTTCAATTGGGTTTCTCAACTGTTCTGCACTTGCCTCGGGCTGTACGTGGGTTTTGTTATACTACTGTGATTTCTAAAGGGGAAGTAGTTACATTTAATTTATTTCAAACCTTCCTCAGCTGCATTTACATTGTATTTGCAGTTGCTTCAGGTGCGATTTGCTTGTGGCTGTTGCTGGAGGAGGTCACAGGACACTTCCATTGTTTCTTTTGTCTGGAATGTCTCGCCACTGACTCTGCTAATGGTTTTCTAAACGGGGAAAATAAACTAGAAGCTCTTTAAAAGGTTTGAGCTTGTTCTCTCTCCTTACTTACGTGTTGCTGCTGACAAAACTGGAAGATTCATTGGCCTGTGATGCTATTCATGAACCTGCAGTAGAGGATTCTTTCAGTCTTTCTCTTGTCCTCTTTCAACAAGGCTCAGCATTTGTATATGCTCGTCAATGTTTCTTTGATTGCTAAGTGACAGCAGAAGTCAAGTGTGCCTCTTAACAGTATGGAAATGCTGAGACAAAATCTGGGTCTTCCCAGGATAATTGTAATCCTGGCTGAGTTGAACATTCAGCGCAGGTTACACATCGAGCCTGGTGTTACTACCTGCTTGCTGAGTGACTGCTTTCAGAGCGTTGCTTAAACTCCTGTTGTACAACTCATTTCCTACTTGATACTCTTTAAGTTGCAGGGGATTTACAATTTGGAGGTTTCTTTTGAGGGAGAAGCAGGCTGGAGAGGGAGACTCGTGTCTACTTAATGTGTTCCTGGAAAGTACAGGTTTGTTGCTTAAAAAAACTTGTTTGGATTGTGTGGTCTGCTGTACAGATGAATCTGCTTTGTCATCCCTTCTCGTTGAACCCTGCGAAGGCTGTTCTTGGATGTGATTTTCAGTTGTTTAGAACTAAGACTTCCAGACAGTTCGAAGCTACAGCTACCTTATTCCTTGTATGTTTTGTGCCCGCATAGTTTCTGTTTTCTTTTCCCTGCTGCTTATCTTGATCTGTGGGTAGGCAACAGACATATTTCAGTTATGGTCTCTTTTGGTTTTTCTTTCTTTCTTAGGCTCTTCTCAAAATGCATTCTTTATTCTATCAACTACTTGGGTTCGAGTTCTGTAGCCTTACTAGGGAACTCCTAAAAGGAAAGCTGTGAGTGCTGTGCAGTCCTTGTTACAGTACTCATTTAGGGGGAGTACTCAACCCTTTGCACCTTCTGTTTAACTATTTACGTGCTTCATAAATAGTTTGGTTATGAGATGCTCTGTATTGCCTTCTAGAATTGAAGGCTTTCTTTGCTTTGGTTCTGATGAATATTTCTGATTTGTTAGTAGTGAAGATACCTCCTGCTTCTATTTTATGTGAATGCTTGAGGAAAAGTAATTGGATTTCTCTTTGCTTCCATGTGGGGTTTATAATGCAAGTACCATAAATAAAACATCAGGATTGTCTTTTAGCTCAATGATACTCTTAGCTGTATTATTGATAAAGCATTCTGAAATGTAACAGTATGTACAAGCTGGAAATTAGATTTCCACTTTCCCTGCGGAGGTTAAAAAGCCCAGTAAACTCTTGGAGCAGGTACTTGGCTTCAGGCCAAGGAACTAGGCATGAAGTGCTGACTGCAGTGCGTCTGAGCCTGCTGAAGTCTGACTGCTCTAAGTGCTTGGCCTCAAAAAGAAATCTGAACTTGCTTTGAAAGGATTACTCCTAGAAATTATGAATTCCTCTACCTCTGGTATTTTTCATGTAGAAAGCGTGCCTAAAGGCTCTGCTTTTGTATGACAACGATTTAAAAACCTAGAGTGACTTGACAAGAAAGTAAATGAGTAGTGAGACTGCTGAGGTAAGCTGTTGCTGATTGTAGGTAAGCAAGGGAAGCACCAGTGCATTATATGTGCTGTGCCAATACAGCACATTTCATGTATCTCTATTAATTACATCTCACTGCTATTAATACATTAGTATAGCCTGTGAACTTAATGTGAAAGATTTTGCAGCTGACAAATTAAATCTTCATTCCATGCTACTTGCAAAAGCCTTTAAATTTAGGCTATGTGGAGATAGTTATGTGAGGTTTCTAGTGTATATATGCACTCAAGAAAATACAAACCCTACTCTTTTTTCCCCATTTCTTGTCTAATGCACATAACTTGAATTTCAAGAAATAAGAGCTGATTACAGATGTGAAATAAGAGCAGAGGGTAGTAGGAGTAAGCAACAAAGGTTAACTGTATACGGTTAACATGCTGCATTGGTACATGCAGTTCTAACGTCATAGAAACAAAACTTGTATGAGTTAAATAAGCTTATGTTGGATTATGCAACAGATAAATATTAGCTCTTCATATTGTAAGTACTGGGATTTCCTTGTAACTCCTCCTTTTATCCTTTTAATGGAGCTTTCATAAGGGTAATATGAAACGTGCATGTGAAAATAAGTTTTCCATTCCAACTTAATTGTAAAATATTTGCATTTCAGCTCAAATCAAAGACAAAATTAAAGAAAGGGAAAAGAAGCAGAAAGAGAAGAAGAAGCACAAAATAATGAATGAAATCAAGAAAGAAAATGGAGAGGTCAAATTATTGCAGAAAGGTAGGTTCGAACTATGTAGTGGTATTTCATTCTAGAGCTTTAAAATCTTTGTGATTGGATTGGATACTGAGTTTTAATAGTATGTTTTTCATTTAACTTAAATGCTGTTTTCCCTGATTAGTTTGTATGAGGGTTGCAAATTTGAATGTAACTAGAAATGGTTTGTTTGTTTGTTTTTTTTTTTTTAACTGTGTTAGGTACTGGAGATTAAAAGTATAACTGTCACCACAATGTTACTTATACAGTAGTAGTAAAGACTGGTACTTCAAGGGATAATATTGATGATAGCTGCATCTCTGCAGTTACTGAAGAAGATTATCATTTTATATATTGTGGAGAAGAAAAATGAATCCATGTCACATTTTATATTTAACATTAAATGCACAAAATTGAATAACTGAGGAGTTACAGTTTGGGAACTTTGTCAAATACTAAAAAAATATGTACAACAGGCAGTCTTAATTTTGGGTAATTTCTTCAAATTAATTTACTGTAATGGAATGTAATTAAGATTACACTTGTCACAAGTTCTCACACTAGCTTGTACATCCACTGAATCTTAGAATTGTACAGTAGTTGAGATTGGAAGGGACTTAGTCCAGTGCCCAGGACTATCAATTATATCCTCCTTTATAATCTCCATGCTGAACAATTCACTGCTCTCTGCCTCTCCTTATGTGAGTGATGTTCTGCTCCCTTAATCCTTTTTGGGCTCACTCCATTTCTGTTTTGGACTGGCAAGCTCAGAACTCTACATGATACTCCAGATGTGTCTCACCAGTGATGAGCAGAGGGGAAGAATCATCTTCCTCAACCTGCTGGCAGTTCTTCTAATCCTGTCCAGGAGGCTGCTGGCCTGCTTTTCCACAGGGGCACACTGGTGGCTTATGGTCAACTTGTCATCCACCATGACCACCAAGTCCTTCTCTGTAAGGCTGCTCTCCGGGCAGTTGGTCCTCGGCCTGCCCTGGTGCATGAGGTTATTCCCCTTACTGCACCGGGCTTTGCACATCCCAGTGTTAACTTCGTGAGACTTCTGCTTGCCCCTTTCTACAGCCTCTCAAGATCCCTCTCACTGGCAGCACAACCCTGTGGTGCATTGTTCTTTCCAGTTTTGTATCACCTGCAAACTTGAGGGTGCACTCTGTGTCCTCATTGCCATCATTAATGAAGATGTTGAGCAGTACTGGCAGAAGGTATCAGTGTTTGGGTTACTCCAGTAGCGACTGTCCTCCAGCTGGACTTCGTGCTGCTGAGCACAGCAGTTGAGCCAGTTCCTGAAACACCTCACTCTTCACTTCCAGGTCATGCTGCATTAGTTTTCCTGTGAGGATGCTGTTTCTTTAAGTAGACAAAATATTAGTTTTAATCTGTTATTTTCAGACTCTGCTTTTGAAGTTAGGAACATATTCCTGATATATTTTTCTGTTATCTTGTCTGCTGTAGGATTTTATTTACAAACAAAAACTGAAACCACCAAAACAAAACATTATCTTCAAAATGTTCATATGAGGTCAGAGACAAGGAACCCTGTAATTACTACATCATATATTATACTGTATGCACAGTTCCAAGTAACTGTATTAGCAACTGTGACAGCTTAAAACCTGTGTGGATCAGATTTCAAGGTATCAGCTTGGACCATGAGGAATGTGTAAGCTGGTGACTTCCTGTGAAAAGAACAGATGTGGCTTGTCTTTGCCGAGCATGAAAGGAAGCTGGTGACTGAGATACTGGGCAGCACTTAACTGCCTCAACAGTGAGGTTCTTCAGGTTTTGTTTGTGTACCAGCCTTTTTTACCCTGTGTCCTATTTCCGTTGCCACTCAGCAGATGGGGTGAAAGCTGCAAAGACAGCAAGTCTTGTTACACACCTATCACAAATCATACCCAGTGGGGATATTTGGCCTCAAGTGGTGCTTTATTTTCAAGTTAATATGAAAACACGTATGCACAGGGGCTGTGGTAGAACACCCCTGCTGTTCTGAACTAGGTGAGTAGCCAAATAGATGGTTCTCACAGAGAACAGTGCTGCAAGTGCATGATTCATATTTCATAGACGTGATATGTTATCAGTCAAGTGTCATGTTTTTAGATTTTCTTTAAGATGCTGGTGGGAAGTGTTTTGTAGAGGCTATGCTTGGTTTGCCAGTATCCTGCAAAATCGACTCCTGTTTCAGGGAAAGAAGGGTGTGTTCCAGGAGAGCAGTTATTTAGAGCAGGCAGGTTTGGAACTGCTCTTACTTTCCTTTTCTTTAGGTATTTGGTTTTGTTGTTGGGTTTTTTTTTGTGTGTGTAAGAGACTACAGTGCTGACTTCTAAAGACAGCTTATTTCCTTCTTCTAGGCATTAGATTAATATCTTGTAAAATGTTACTCTGACCATCTGCCAAATGCTTTTCTTGTGTTGAGAATATTGTTAGTGTTTCGATTTTTGTCTTTTGTTTGTTTGTTTTTCTTCCCCTGTTTGACTTACCTCCACCCCTTCAGTGAAGGTAATAGAGGTAATAGCCTACCTTACTTCAGACACTTGAACTGTCCAAGATAAATGTCTAGTTATAGAAGAAGAAATCAGTACTGAGGGACTGATGCCTTTTGAGGGAGAGTTAGTACATAAACCTGATTTTGGTGCTTTGAGCTGAAGGTGGAAGAGTTTACTTATTTAGAAAGCTTAGGACTGTGAACTGTTCATCTGCCTAAACTTGGGTTGCCATTCTGCTGAAAGCAATGATAAAACTTGCCTGTATTGGAGAAGGGCAACTCTTAAAGAAGGTATTTTTACAGTTCCTGAGGTGCTAAAGGAAAAGTGTTTGGCTCTCTCGGAGAGTCTGATGGCTTTTCTTGGTGTATTTAGGATTAAAAGCTTTTTTCTGTCAGCCTTTGCACTTGCAGATGTATGCTTTGTAGAATAAGGCTATGTAATTGCCCCTTTTTCTCTCAATCTGTTATGTGGAAGCAAGAGCTCCGTTCTTGGAAAAAAGCTTCTTGGCACATGCATATTGTTAAAAATTCAGGAAATACAAGTGATTTAAACTTGCTTTTCAAAAAATGTGCATAATGAAAAAGTTACCTTTTAGGAGTTGAGTTTGAAAGTTTCATAAAAAAAAAAATCCCACCAGTGGGACCTGGCTGAGGGTTACTGGAGGTCCTGCAAAACCAAAAAGGATTAATAGACTTATTTGTAAACAGTATCATTTATGTTTTTCCTTAAAAAAAAAAAAAAAATAGTCCTGATTTTCTCGTTATTTGTATCAGAGCACAGAAATTTCTTAAATTGCAGTAGGATAAATTCTTGATGTGTGTTTCTGCAAGATTAAATGCCTTGCTTTATGGAATGCCAAAATGCAGGGAAGAAGGGAGAATGAACATCTCTATCATGCTGGTATGAACTTCTGTAAGTACAAATTGTTTTCCAAAGCTTTTTTTGAAATTATTATTCTGGGAGAAATTACATTTGTTTCAATTTTACATTCTTATGAACCTTTTACATTTCTTATAGATGGATTTTGCACAGAAGCAATTATAACATATTGGTATATTTGAGACCTACTGCTGCGTCATACTGCAAGCTTTTTCCCATCCACTATATTTTGTCTTCGTGTGTGTGTTTAGGGAAAATGGTGAAGGGTTTGTATGCAATGCACTTGAGTTGGTAGGATATTGAGGGGATGGGAAAGACTGAGGTTAGAGTGCAGGGCACACAGCCCACCACACTGGTTTGCCTGTGGTACTGATTTGGCTTCACAGTCCGTACGCACCAAGTTACCAACTTGGACTAAACACAGATGTAAATAGAGGTGTGTGTATATTTAATGTGGTAACTCAGGTGACCAGACTCCAGCAATTGTTTGCAGACTTTGTATTTTCAGACTGTTTGTTGTTGAAGAATTAACTGAAAATATTTGAGAGGCTTATATTTTTTATTTGTCACTTTATAAACATCTGCTTATCTTACAACATCCCTTTGAAGCTCTCCTGAAGAGTGCAGTTGTTGGAAAGGGTCTAAGAGGAAGCATGTTAGTCTTCCTGTGTGGCTCTGATGGGGTAGGAGACAGTTACTGTAATGAGCTTAACATTGTATAAGTCAACATCTATCCTTGTAGTAACTTCTGTCACATCTTGTGTTTGTAGGCCTATCAGCATCACTTTCTGAAAATCCTGAATAGCTGTTCTCAAGGTGGTTGTGATTATTCAACTTCCAGGAGACCTGAGAACATGAAATAGGATTATTTGATGTATTTTAGACTTGACTCTTCTGATGTTTAGTATTCAAGCTTTCAAGCCTCTAAACAGAACAAGATAGCTGTCAGTTCTCAATTGTACTGCTGCTGTGTGGTTTGTTTCCTGTGCTGTGTGCTGAGACACCTTGAAATTATGTTTGTTTCTAGCACATGGTCTATTAGCTTTTCAGCCTGTTGGCAGCTGGTGTTGCTCATTCTCCTTAATTGCAGAGTGACTGTGTGCATTTTGTGTTGGTTCAGAATTTGTGTGCATGTTTTAACTCTATTAGGAGGGCAGTTGTTCTAATTCTTTTGAATGGTTTTTAATATGTTTTTTCATTAACCCATCAAATTATTCTGTAAATTATATTTATTGTATAATATATAAAAATAAATCTGGAATACATGAGGATAAATTATGTTAAAATCAAAATATAAAATTCTGTCATTTATTTAACTGACTGGTACAAACTTGAGAGATTTTTAGGATGTAAAAGACTTCTCATTTTTTCTCTTGTGCTGGGTGGCTTTTTTCCTGGTGTGTTGTTTTTTTTTTTTTTTCCTGCTGTAAGTGGCAGTGCCTACAAGAACACTTGTACTCTCTAAGACTGCTCCTGTTCTAAGCTATTTTTTAGTTATTTGTGGTTATGAACTCAAAACTCATTGGAAGATCCAGGGGGTCACTTCTGTGGTTTGAACTGGGATTTCTGTGTTGACTGTTAAAAGACTTGGCTTAAAGAGCTTCAGCAGAGCTGAGTCATCATAAACTTATAATATGTGAG